AGATGCCGTGAAAACGATGAGTTGGCCAATATATTTTTCAAGGTCAACGACGACATTAATCAGACGGTACGAGTCGATTCACGAGACAGGTATGGTAACACGCCGTTGCACAATACCATGGACACCAATAACAAAAAGATGGCTGAACTGCTACTGAGACGAGGAGCCAATCCGAATTTGGGCGAAATAAATGGTCTGACACCTTTGCATCTTATCTGTATGAAACGTGGCGACCACCATGACACAGTAGAGATGTTATTCGAGGTCAGTGAACAACAAAATCATAAGGTACAGGTCAATGCTCTGTCCAAGACCGGTAGCCCACCATTAATGATGGCTCTGATCAATAATAACAAGAAAATTACCGAATTACTACTGAGAAGAGGTGCTGATCCGACTATAGTAAACGAGAAGTTTGGGACGCCTCTACATTACATTGCCAATAGTCCAACGGACGAAGGCGACTTCGCGAAGAAGTTCTTTAAGATAATCGACGACCAAAGGTGGACGATGCAGACCGACGTGGTATTCAATAAGGGACATACACCGCTTCACACGGCTGTGTTTCGCAGGCATAAAAAACTGGTGGAAGTGCTGCTGAGAAGAGGCGCCAATCCAAATTTGCCCAGCAAAAACGAAGGTTTCACAGCGCTACACATTATTTGCTCTAAATTCCACGACGACAACATAGTGCAGTTACTATTCAAGCTGTGCGGCTCGAGACGGCGGCAGAAACATCAAGTTGAGCTCGATGCCCTCGACAACGAGGGCCGAACACCACTGCAACTGGCCGTGGCGAATCTATTGCCGGATTTGGTCGATGTACTCTTGGACAATGGCGCCGATCTGTCGAGTTTCGTTATGCCTGATGCAGCCAATTTTTGCAGAGGATATGACTATATTGATCAGAAGTGGGATGAATTGAGATTTGCCTGTGGCGCCCTGGCCGTCGTCGAACGCCTTGAAAAAAGAGGTTACTTACTGGTACGACGGGACGCCATTAAAATTATGACATTTTACGCCCAGCAAAAATTTTTTGAAAAGTCTTCGGATTTTGAAAAATGTTTGCACAACGACGAGGAGTTCGCGAAAATAGCCAAAGAGATAATTATAACTTCGAACTTGTCGCTCTACGATCTGATCCTGTTGCGACCCGAACAGGCGGAAAAACGACTCACATACAAGGGTTACATGGAGATCAAGCGAACGGACAACTTGGATAAAATTCCCAAAAAATATCGTGACGCATGCATGAAACATCTATGCGAAAAGATGTCTAGAGGATACTTTAAGAGGTGGGCACTGAATTCTTTCTTGGAGCTGATCCACTACCGGCTGCCGATTCTCTGCTGCGACATGGTCATCGAGAATCTGAAGAACGAGGATTTTCTGAGTATATGTCAGGCTGCAGAAATCGTTTCAAAACGAAGCGCAGCCGAAACCGATGAAACTCATGCTCGCAAAAGGTATTGCTTTTTTTTTAACCCACGGAATAATAATTTTCATCAATTTTTCTAAACCTTCCATTTCTTTTTTTCAGGCGACGAACTGAAGAAATTATAAATTGACATCAATGTTGATCATGAACAATTTTTGCCCCTGTATAAGTTTTACATAGTGTGTAACAATTAAAAATGTTAAAATATGAAAAAAAATTAATAAAATGAATTGTGTGATGTATCCATTTTGAACGAAATTCGATTTTCGTGGCTAATCAATTATGAANATTTATTTTTTGAAATCTAGTAATGAAAATGTAGTAATATCGATTTGTACACTAAAAAGCATCACTTCAAGAGTACTCAGCTAAATTTTTGTTGAAAAATATTAAAAAATGAGCCTGGGGCATCGGTTTGAAGAAAACACGTCGAAAAATGCGGTGTACACGATAACTCCTCGCAGAATCATCAGAAACAAGCCTAGTGACATTTTGTTATTAGTTTAGAGGATTCTGAAGGTACTGACGTCGAGTTTTTTAAAATTTTTTCATTTTTGAAAATTTGGCGTGACTTTGAAGTTGAAAAAATGGGAAAAAATCGAAAAGGTGCACTTTTTTTTTCGGAAAATTGTTGAAAAAAAAATGAAAATTTTCCCAAAAATAAAAAAAATCTCGACGTCACTACCTAGTAAAATAGTTAATAAATAACGGTGTAAAATTTCAAAAAGATCGGTCAATAAGTTTTTGAGATATGATGTACACCGTCTTTGAAAATGCTATTGTTCAGGAAACGCGTTTAAAGATTTTGAGGTCCAGTCCTCCTTACCTTTTTGAACGTGTATTAAAATGGTCATATCTTAGTTAATTTTTCTCCGATTGGCTTAAAATTTTAACTGAATACTCTTGAATATATACAGAATCGAATTAGACAATAAAAAAAGTATCGAAAATTTTTGCGAAAAATACTATGCCCTCCCCTTAAGGTATATAAGCATAAAGATCCGTGAAATACAAATTCAATATAAGCAATAAAAGACCAGTGTAACTAACACCAGACAATCCTTCCAATACATCTTTGAACTCAATCCAAAACATCCCTACATTCGCATCATAACAGGCAGCTTCGCGGACGGGCAGCTCAAACTGCTCATACGTCATTAGTCCGTTGCCTTCCACATTCCAAAACTCCTCGACTCAAACTCACACATACACACACATATATTACCTTATATGGGGCATATACGTAACAGGTGACGACTGCCGTCAGGCTTGTACGCCACGAGTCAGACGCACAATCAAGCCATCGACTGTCACCAATCTTTTCCTTGATTACGACGGGTAACATACCCGCAGGCGTCTCGCTGCCTATGAAACCGCGCGCCTTGTATAGACTTTCACCGTACATACATCCACGCAAGTGCACTTCGATTTTGAGCTATTAGAGGTACAACTCTAGGCTTAAAACAGATTGCATAACGCTAGTTGCAAAAAAATACAACTACTTACAATAACACCATGTAGCAATGTATCGTGCAACATTTAAAAGATGACAATAGAATATGCAAAATATTAGATTCAAGAAATTATATTATTTTTAAAAAACTTGACCCAGCTCATTTTTCAAATGCATCGGAGTGTTTGCGCGAATCAATCGAAGAAAGGCTGAACTTTTTATTTTCTCACTTACTCATTTTTACACTGCCAACTTCGCGACCGACCACTAGGTGGCACATTGCGCGAAAAATCGCTTCCACAAGGGGCAAAACGTATACAAGTAAATAAGAGTAACTTCTCTAGCTATCCAAGTATGTTTCGAATAAAACTTCTTGTGAATAAAGCATTATGTAATATCATATTCAGAAATTGGATGTACAAACCATAGATCTGTTCCATGCACGCGTTTTGCATGCATTTCACAAAAGACATTATGAAGAAACTTTAAAAGTAAAAAAAGCTATTTAAGTCGACTTGGTATTTTTGTGTACCCCCTCTGATGGCTTCCAAGACCTGTAATTTAAGCTTGGTATTTATGTCATTGTTTATGCATCTGTATATTGTGACGACCAATTGATGATATCTCTTGGCAAAAACTCTAATCAGCTGCGTGCACAATAATTGCTTTTAGTAGATTCAAAGCAGATCTTACATTTTCTGATGGGTACTGCAATCGGTACTTCACTTTGACTCTACTGCAATTCAATTACATAACTTGTACTACCTATAACATTTTTCGTTCTGCGTCACTAACTTATTATTAGAGATGAATTACCGCAACGAAACTATGACGAAATTTTACATTGCACTCGAGCACGACGATAAAAAGACCGGTAACTGCTAGCATCAACTGCTCACTGAAGCTAATTCTCTATAAAGAGCTCGTCAACTTTATGTACTTTTATTTATGATTAATTTTTTTTTTCATCTCGTACGTCATGTAAGCTCCTGCTGCTGCTGCTACGACACGATCGCGCATAAATTCAAATGAAACAAAGCCTCCTCGAGAGGATCGCACGATTAATGCATTTTGGTAATAAACTTTTCGCGTCGTACGGTCGGTCGCGCGAGCACGCGAGGCATTAATAAATCAGACGATTAATCGCGACTCTCAAAACCGATTAAATTATTCGATATTACGCGCGCGAGTATATATACGTAAAACAATAGTCCGCTCGAACTCGAACCGAAGCCGATAAAAATGGCCATCGATACATGCATTCATTTCCTTCCTCTGTTTTTTTTTTTTACACGAGAGCACGCGTGACGCGCCCGTATAAATTTAACGCTCTCGCGCATCATTAACGAGTCGCTCTACCCACTTTGCTCTCTCTCGTTTACGCGCACTTTGGTTAATTTATACACCCGCGCCATCGTGTTTGTATGTGACCCCTCCCCCCCCCCCCCCC